ACCCTGAGGAACTGGAATTAATCTGAAGCAAACTATTACTCACTCTGATTATGTGTCAGTAGGAAAGGGAGATGATTATATTGTCAACAAGACAATCCTTTGCATCCATTTGTCCTCCACTCCAATGAGCAGTCATTCTAGTTCTTTGAGGTGACAGTCCATTGGCTACTTAGGCAAGCACTTTGAGTATCTACTCTGGATTCAATACTGGTCCACTCTCTCCCTGCAGCAAAGCAGCCCAGAGATGCCTCTTTCACATGTCCTTTAGGGCTGTGGTCCCCAATCCTGGAGCGGTGGGTGAGTACCAGTCTGTGGCCTGTTAGGAACCAGAAGGCACAGCAGGAGGTGAGCAGGAGGCAAGCAAAGCAAAGCTTCATCCATATTTGCAGGCACTCCCCATCACTCGCATCACCGCCTGAGCTCCTTCTCCTGTCAGATCAGCAAGTGGCATTAGATTCTGATAGGAGTGCAAACCCTGCAGTAAACTGCGCATGTGAGGGATCTGGGTTGCACTCTCCTTATGAGAATCTAATGCCTTATAATCTTAGGTGGAGCTGAGACGGTGATGCCAGCGCTGGGGAGGGGCTGCAAATACAGATTATCATTAGCAGAGAGGTTTGACTGCAACAAATGTATTGTGCTTGAATCATCCTGAAACCATCTCTCGCCATCCCCCACCCCCCGCCCTGGTCCGTGGAAAATTGTCTTCCATGAAACCGGTCCCTGGTGCCAAAAAGGTTGGGGACCACTGCTTTAGGGCATGGGCATGGCCCTAAGAAGTTGGAGGTGAAGTACATTTCTCTCTTGATGAATCATACTTTTCTATCTGCTTCCATCACGATGTTAAAGTTGCTTTTCTTGGGGGTAGACGGTGGTGAGTCTTACCTTAAAATATAAAGAAGTTACATTTGAAAACACAGGAAATTTTAACTTCTTCAGAGTTAGAAGAGAGGAAAGCTGATTTTTTTCTCTTAACATACTAAAACGATTTTTCTGAGACTTAAAAATAAAATCCGGAAACTGCATTCTCTTGTGATCGGAACCCTGCTAAGCGTCACTTTTAGTGTTTGTGCAAGTCAGTACCTACAGGGAAGGTCAGGTTTCTTCCGTGTTGCCTGTTTCTGGCGCCTTTCTCTGATTCATAAATATCCCTTTTCAATCCCCTACATTTTAGCTGTTTCCTTTAAGAGACATTTGAAAAGTAATCTTTTTTGCCATTTATTTTATTTAGCTTGAATTCCGTCTTGGAGTTTTTAAGGTGCTATTTTTTCCTACATTCCTCCTCTCTGGTCAGGGAAAAGGTTGAGCTCTCTTCAAAATAAGGTGGATTTAGTTGATTAATTTCATAATTTAGAGTCTTTGTTGGTTAAGATTCCAACAGGAGGGGCTCACTACAACTACATTTGCTTTTGAAGGAGCCCTTTATTTTGCAGTGAATAAAGTGTCTCTTATTAAACAGAAAATAAAGGAAGGTTTGGCAGGACTCTACTCCTAATGGGTGAAACATCACAGGAAATGGAGAAATTGTTTCTTTTTGGCCTTGTGGGAAAATTTTGCTGGTGCAATTTAGTATTAAAGTTTTAAGACTACTGTTTAAAGCCATCAAGAAAGAGCCGTTGATCAAATAACAGCTTCCAGGGGAGAGGTACCAATTTGATTTTTCTAGAACTGGTCTGTTAAATTTTCCGAGTACTCCGAGGTATAGTCAAAACAATTGCATTCTCTCCTACATAATGATTGTGCTACCTTTAAAGAGAACTTAGAAATATTTCAGCTGTTTAAGAATAATTTTGTTAAAAGTTGGCCCCAGTTGAGTGCCCATTTATTTGTGCCTGTAAGAAAGGATGCTGTATGTACCCAGACCAAAAATGAATCTTAGGTACAAATCCAGTTTCCATTCTCCAGTTGATCTATGGGCTCTAGAACTTGGACAAATCCCCTTTGGGCATTAAACCTATGTCCTGAGCCTCAGACCATCTTACTAACTGGATGTGTTTCCTTACAGTTTCTCCACGTAGACACCTTATTTGGGATTTGTGCCCCAGACCAATGTTCTCATTTGACCCCTAAATCTGTTTCCCTTCTAAGTCCCTTAGGGACTGTATACCTCATTGTCCAAACCTGAAACTTTCATTGTTTTCTCTCCACAACCCCTTCAATTTGCAATTGATTACTAAGTCCTGTCAATGCCCCTAAATATGCCTGCCACTCATCTGCTTCTCTTCACCTTCCCATTTCCCTCGCACCCAGTTCAGGCCACGATTCTCTCATGCCTTGATTTCTCTGAAAACCTCCTTAACCAATCTCTTGCCCTCTGTTTTTCCCTCCCATAATCCTGATTCTGTCCTGTAGCCAAAACAATTTTTCTAAAATTAATCTTGATCATGTTGCTTCCTGGCCTGAGATTTTTATATATATTTTTAGAATCTAACCACAATTTTCACTATAAAATCCAAACTTTTGACTTGGACCTTGCTTAAATTTCTCAGTTTTCCTCCATTTCCAGCTGTGTCAGCCTCTTGACAGATCCAGCATTTCCCACTTTAGGCTTAGCTGGATTACGGACTGAGTGAGCACCCCTCCCTCTGCTCTTTCCCATGCTTGGCTAATTCTGATCTGTTCTCCGAAAGTCAGAGAGCTCTCTCTCGCCCCCACCCCTGAATAGATGCTCCTGGACATATTTCTAGCATGGCTCAGCTTCCACTGGAAGGAAGCTCCTTGTGGGTAGGCCCTGAAGCTCATTCCTTTTTGAATCCTCTGCTCTGCCTTTGAATAAATAAATGAGAATGAATACCTACTTGTGTTTTTCCATGTGTAAGATTGAATCCTGATTACAATATAAAATTTGGTTATTTTTGGCTATTTTGGAACATTGGAAAATAGAATGGGTAAAAATACCTAGATTCTACATCAGGAGACCGAATCCCTGTTCAGTCACTACAAACTGGGACCTTTGCTAAGTGCATCAGCCTCTCTGAGTCTCATCAATCAGCACAGGATAATTCCTCATCCAAACAAAGCTTGGCCGAGCACTGGCGGAGAAGTGTCTGGCTGGTGTAGGTGGAGGCACTTGGTGAATTGTAATGATTGCTCAAGTGAGAGGAAATCATATTCTTTTCATATCTGTAGGTCTTCTTATTGCACCTGTGCAAAACATCAGCTTGGGAGAGGCAGGGCCAGAATGGTTTCACAGGGCACAGATGGAAGGGGAGTATTTGCCAGGTATCTGCTCCGTTAGCTGGAGCTGCACCCATGGTAGACTAGCTGTGGGGGAATATTCACCCTTAGCTTTCCCACTGGCTGGAGCTCAAAAATACACTCCCACCCTGTCATATAGTGTTGATACAGGGCAGTAGCAGTTTGGTAACATGTGTTGAGAACCTTAACCATATTCACCCCTTTCGAATGAGTAATTTCATTTGGGGGATTTATTTTAAGGGAATGATTTTTTACAACAGGAGGGGAGCACTTAAGATGTGTAAAGATGTTCATTGCAGTTGTGTTTATTATAGTGATCAAAGATAATCTGAAATGTGCAGTCAGTGAGGAGTTGTTTATGGCATTGTCCTTCAGTGGGTTCTCTGTAAAATGGAAATGTGACTTAAAAAAAATTACTTCAGCTAAAAGAGCAGTTTTAAGAAATTCCATCTGTGGTTAAATTGAAACTATGTAAATCAAACAAATATAGAAAAACAAAAAGTGACCGGTGGGAAAATAAACTTCATTTTAAATGGGGTTAGTCGTAATTAACAAATCTATAGGCACGACCCTTCCCCGCTAGACTAATAGCTCCAGTGAATGAAGTTCACTGTCTTCTGTGCAAATGAATCTTTATTTGGCCTTGGATCGAGGCCAGGCCTTCATCTCATCTTCTAAAACCTGGAAGGAAGCATTCAGAGGAATATCAATCAAAAGTAAAAATTGGTTTACAAGTTGGAGGGCTGAAGTTGTGGGATACCAGGGAAGGACAGCCTAAATTTACACTCGAACAAGTAATCATGACAGCAACTTTGTAAGGCATCTTTGAGTATGCCAAGAATTTTTACATACATTGTTTCACTTAAATTGGTTCTTCTTCAATCAGTTTACTATCCAAACTGCCTGTAAAAATCACTACAGAGCTGAAAGAGCAGAGAGACACAGTTACTTATTTCGACTCCATTCCCCTTTATCTGCCTGCATCTAGGGATTTCTCTGCTGCACAGAATTCACTTTGAACCCAGTGGAAATTACCTAGAAGGGGATGGATAGTCAGGCCTGGGAAACAAACACCTTTTACCGTGGCTTTATTCACTGGAGGCTCTCCAATGGTTTGGCAGGTCTTTTCTTAACACGTGCCTTCTGGAGGCTGTTGTAAGAGGCACAGAGATGCTGCATGTGGCCCAGTGTCACACAGCAAGTCCATACACGGCAAGTCAGTAGCAGGAATCTGTGTAGAATTAAAATCCCTTTTTCCCCCTCCTGAATCTCCATCTAGCCCAGTGTCACCTCTCCCATGGGATTCTGTGTTCCTTTTTTTACTGCCTGTCTCAGCTTCAGAAAAGATCTGTTTTCTCTTATTATTTTCCCACATTGCTGCGGTTCTGAACTGTAGTGCATTTGTCAAATGTATTGTGTGTGTCTTCACCCCTGCAGCTTTCCTGTTAGATGATTCAATACTAGGCAATGATCTCTCCACTTAGGAGGCAGAAAGAAAGTGAGAAAGAAAGAAAACAGCTTGGAGCCCTTAAGCTTGGGTTTTGGCCATTTTTCTCCAAGACAGGCTGTTGTCTCTTCTCTGATTTGAACCTCTGTGTTCTCAGAATGAGAAATAAATGTTGACACAAAAATCCACGTGTTAGTTTCTGGGTGTTTGATAGGAAGCCTTGGTCCCCAGTGTGGTTTTTGGTTTTGTTTTTCAGTTGGGAGTTTGTTGTGTTATTTGACCAAGGACAGTGCTGACTGCCTCTGGTTTATACTTCTCTTTCGAAGTTTATTTTATGTTTTGTTGTGGTTTTCAGATTTCTCATGGTTTGGATTTGGGAAAGTAAAATCAAGACAAGGTGTTGGTAAGTAGTTACTCCTTCTTTGGATAAGTAATACGTTTATGTTTTTAATTTGGATGAAACTGCTTAGACTCTATTTACATTTGTTGGTCCTTGATTCATTTTCTCTGTTCCTGGTTTGTTGAAGAAGGAGGTCTAGAATTTTTCCAGAAAAGGCATTACTCTTGCTAGTTGAGTTCAGTAAACTTTTTTTTTTTTCATTTTTTGAAGTTGACTTGTTTTTATCCATTGTAAACTGTCATCCCAGTTCTAGGTCATGGTGCATTTTTAAGAAGGTTAAAGAAATAAAATGCAACTGCTATCACAACTGCGTGTACAGGGAATAGTTGACTGAATAGTAAAGGCTGCACAAGTTTGGGTCTTAACTTTCTTCGATTGGCCAAGATGTAATAAAGTTCTGAATTAGTATATCAGCTGTTCATTTATGACCATTTCTCTTTCAAAACAGACTCTAACGTCCAGACGCTGTGATTTGTGCTTGATTGCATTCTATTCCTTGCATTCAGACTATGTACTGACAATTGAAAAGCAGAGTTCGTTGCATACCAAGTGAATGCAGATGATGTAGCTCATCATTAGGATTGAAATCAGGTGTGATCTCCCTGGACCTCCAATTTGTTCAGTATTTTCTGTGGGTGCAGAGACAACCAACAGGAATCGCTTAGAAGGAATGAAAAGGCAGACTGTCTTACATCTTTCCTGTAGGTTTCCAAGATCTGACCATTGTGGGCATGATTAGTATTTCTTTTGGTAGCAAGGTAGACCAGAGGTGAAATTGCAAGGTAGGGGAAGTGTACAAATGGCAGAGAGCTGCTCAGTTTTGAGCCATCCACCCTCTACTTGTTCATCCCATCCATATGAGGAACTCTGTTTCCTTTCGCTTTTGAACCTGACATCAGACCTTGCCCGTCAGAAAGCCTCTATCAGTGTCTGTCCAGTGAGCCAAAGATGACCAGCGGGCTGAAGCTGACTGGCCAGATGGGGCCTGGATGGGGAAAACTCACCCTGACCCTTACTAGCCCCATGAATTCCAAGGTTAAAGCTCTTAACCAGCAAGGGGAAAGTAGAGATGTGGCAAACTTGGAATAGCAAGCTTAAGCAGCTCAGGGCTTCTAGGCAGCTCCCCAGGGGCAAATTTCAGGCACAAAGTGATCATAGTAACTTTGCCAAGATATAAGAAGGATTATCCTGCTTGGGAAGTCTTAAAGATGTCCTGTTCTAGGGTTGTATGGTGTGTGTGTGTATGTACTGTGTGTGTTGGGGGAGGGGCGATAAACTGGAGTTAGGTATTTATTATCTCCAGAATCGTACTGTAGGATGGGGTCTTGCTTCCACTAAATAGAAAATCACTGCAACCACTTAAACATTTTTCAAGCCAGTTTGCACTGCAGAAGAGCACTTGATCCTGGCAAGCTTCAAAAATAGGATTTAACCCTTTTAGGCAACAACAGAGAGAATTCTTCAGAATTGTTCTTCCAGCTGCAGTCCAGCAGAGGTGCTGCTATTTTAAGATAGGAGTTTTATTATTTTTCAGGTACAGTGAGCCCAGAAGTTCAGGAGATGACTGCTATTGAAAAGATAAGTTTGTTGCTCACAGCTCCCAAGAAGAGGGGCCACTCGGTGCCTTGGGGAGCTACACAGGGAAGTGTCAGAGTCTCTCAAGGGGCAGACGGGGTGAAAGGACCATGGACAAGAGCCTTTGGTGTGTTTTCCATGGGAAGAAAAGGGCGAGGCAGGGTGGCATGGCTAGTTTGAGTGATTTCACCAGGCCCTAGGGCACAGAGGCTGTCCTGAGTTGTTACGTACCTGGCTCTGGGGTGGTTAGGGCAGGTGGACGGTGGCCTGGAGTGTGAGAGCCAGTTTAGGAAGGTGGTTGGGGGTGTAGACTCTGGATTGGTTGGCTTGCAGGTGAGAGGTGTGATCTCAGGTAAGGTATTTACTATCTCCAGGTACTGGCCAACGAGTGTCAGCAGGGCCCCAGATGTCAAAGCATCAGAATGCAGAAAATAGAAAGGTGTGGTTAATATATCTGCTCAAGAGTAATAATCATCCCCCTGCACCTTGAAGGTATTGTTGGTATTGAGAGAAGAAAACTCCTTTCCTAGATGACCTTTATCAATTCTTATCACAGGAAAATAAGTCTAAGTTGGGCTTAGAAATATCTGTAAAGTCATATGTGCATGATATGTTACCAAGCAGCTCTGATAAAAGAAAAAAATGTCTTTTTGCACCTGAGACATATTAACATAAAAATGGGCTAAAAAATGTTTCCTGGCATAATTCATGTTTGCCGGCTCAGTAATTAGAACTACCTACCCCAGACTCGGCAGATGTGTACATACCTATCGATTTAAAACTTTATATTAATATTATATTTTTTCAAGTCCTCATCTGAATTTCTTTTAACATGCTGTGATATGCCCCTTTACTCTTCTTCTTTTTCGAGGTGCCTGCTCAAACACATGCACAGACACACAAAGGCACATCGCAGGATTTTCACAGACAGGCTGCTGTCAAATTGTATAGACATTCATTGTCCCCACTGAGAGCTTCTTCCCCCTTCCCAACTTTGCTGTGCTTTGCATTCCATTATATCAAAATGTTCGTAGAAAAATGGGCTTAATCCCTGCAACCTTGCCAACCATATCAATCTTCCCGATTTTAGAACATCAATAATGGGGAAAACAGCACTTGAATTAATATCCCACTTGATGAATTGTTGAGGTTTATGTGTTGCTCACATTTGTCAACAGTGACTTTGACAAAGGGAAAAGGCTTTTGGAAAATTATCTTTGGTGCTTTTTATTGCCCCTACACTTAATCCCCCCACCTTCCCAAACAAGAGCCCATGCCCTTGAGATCTGTTACATCAGAGTCGGGGGTTTAATTGGAGAGGTTAGGGGAAGGTAGGGGTGTGCTTTTAGTGGAGAAGGAGAAGCAGAGAACGAGCCCCTTGGTAAGGACTCCACTGTATACTTGGCAGAAGATTCAAAGCCTGAATCCCTGGAGGAATCTCAAGATTGTCTTCTAGGTATCAACCTCCTCAAAAATGATTGAATGCTGCTGTGATGTTCATGGCATGAACATCATACCATCCTGGGCCAGAGGAGAATTAGAGGAAAAAGCACCTGGGGTTGAATGCATTTCTAATCATTGCAGGGACCTCAGGAGGAAATATTGTTAACCTTCTGACAGCATGCGGAGTATTGGAAAATGAAACTCCTGCATTTCTGGGGGCGAAGGTTGTGGCCTGGAATCTGAAATGTACAGCCTTGACTGCATCCCCTCGGGGAGCTCATGGAAGCATGCTTTGGTAACCTCACAGGAGGGGACAGCTGCTCTGGGAACCAAGCAAGGGAACCAGTGGTGAGAGCGTTTCATTGACAAGATGCAGAAACCTTAGCATAGCACATCTCCATTTTCCATCACTGGCCAGAAGCTGGCTAAGCTAGGCCTGTCAAGAAGCAAATCATAAAACAGAGATGGTTAGGGATATTGGAAAGAACTTGTTTTTATAGTTATTCTTGGCAGGATTTCTGCTCTTTACTAACACAGGTGAGCTAGGCACAACATGAGCACAACTGGTGGGCTTGCGTTTGCTTTGAGTGTTCTGTGGCTTCTAAATTGGCTGTGTGAGGACTTGTTTGCAGAATTGAGCCGGAGTGTATCATTAAAGGCAGCTTAAATGCACATCCCCTTGAGAGAATGCTTCAAAAATTACCTATAATAGCAGTTGGCTGCCTCCTACATAGTTTGTTTAAGACAGTTAGCTGGGGAATGTCCAATTGTTATCACTACAAACTGTGATAATCCCCATACAAGGGGAAAAGAATGGATCTTGGAGGTTGGGGGATGGGTATCATCATATTTCCTAGGGGATTTAAAATCATATGACATAAGTGCACATATAAGAATAACATTTATTGGGTGTCGGGCAGGGGGGAGGGGGAAGGAGGGGATGGGTATATGCATACACAATGAGTGCGATGCCCACCATCCGGGGGATGGACACATTTGAAGCTGGGACTTGGGGGGGAAGTGGGAGGGCAAGGGCAACATACGTAACCTAAACATCTGTACCCCCATAATATGCTGAAAAAAAAATCGTATGACCAAAAGACTTTTTTTTTAGAATTGCCACACTTCTCACCGAAATAGTTAAGTGTGAGGAAAATGGCAGCGGATGGATGGAGGTGCTGAAGCATGCATTTTGTGGGAGGTTTGGATGAAAACGCATTCCCTGGTGCAGGAAGTAGCAATTCAGACTTCCCTTCCCTGGCATGGCATTTGCCTTAGCTGGGCCTTTGATTCTGTCTTTTCACTCCCCTTTGTCTCTCCTCCTTCTTTCTCTTGGCTTAGGCCAGTCATCTGGCCAGTGGTCTGCTTCCGTGGGACCCTGCGTGTGTAATATACATCTAGGGGGCTTTGTCCACTTTCCACGTATGGAACGCCTGTCATGAGCCACCATGATCTTTGCCATTTTTAAGCTTTCACATAGAATTTTATCTTTGCCAATCTATTTTTGGTTGCAAACACTGAGTTTAGCGGTCAATGGACACATTATTTAGACAAGATACAGTAGACTCTGCGGGTGGGCATATACATTCTGAGACTTTGGACTAGAAAATTTAAGTTGTATGACAAACGCTGTGATTATTGCTTTAGTATAAAGACACCCAGGTAATGACTCTATAAATAATAGTATAGCTAAAAGCAAAGCAGGTAACTTTGCCATGGGATTGATCCATTATTGTTATGAAGATATTTTACAGGCAAAAGAGGTGTGGGTACTCCCAGAATACAGAGAAAGAGGAACATAGTCACAGGACAGTCCAATGCGAATCTAGTCTACCAGTTAATGTTTGTTTAGTAATACTTAGTGGTAGTACATACTCATGAATCACATTTAAGTTTTAATACATTTTCATATCACTAGTCTTACTCCAGTCAAATAAAATAACAAGCAAGTATTATTTTGCACATAAGTGGATGAAGAGGTACAAAGAAGGTAAGTGACTTATCCAAAGAATGGAGAAAGGAAACAGGAAACTCAGATCTTCAAACTCCCAGAACAACTTTCAGGGCCCTGTGATGAAAGTTTCAATGACAGAGTGTTCTAGAGACATTCACAGAACAGAGAGGAAAGCTTCATATTAAATTACAGGAGAAGGAAGTGAAGAAATTGGAGCCCTCACACACTACTGGTGGGAATACAAAATAGTGCAGCCACTTTGGAAAACAGTCTGGCGGCTCCTCAAAATGTTAAACATAGAGCTACCATATGACCCAGCAATTCCACCCAAGAGAAATGAAAACATGTGTCCTCACACAAACTTGTAGATGAATATTCATAGTATTAATAGCATTATTCATAATAGCCAAAAAGTCAAAACATGATGAATGAATAAATAAAATGAGGCATATCCACACGATGTAGTATTATTAGGCAATACAATGGAAGGAAGTATCGATGCATGTTACAACATGGATGAATCTTAAAAACATTATGCTAGGTAAAAAAACAAAGTTAAAAAAGATCACATATTATATAATTCCATTCATGCGAAATGCCAGTCCATAGAGATCGAGTGTAAGTTTGTGGATGCCTATAGCTGGGAGTGGGGAGAATGGGGAGTGAGTGCTAATTAGAGTGGGTGAAAATGTCCTACAATTAATTAGAGCATAGTGATTCTTGCACAGTTCTGTGAATATACTAAAACCTACTGAATCGTAATTGTACACTTTAAATGGACAAATGTTATGTATGCAAATCATAGCTCAATAAAACCCTTGATTACAGGAGAATATATATTTTTTTCTAACTCCAGGCCCAGCTTCGGTTATCAGCAATGACGACGACTCTGCCAGCCCACTGCACCACATCTCCAATGGGAGTAACACCCCATCTTCTTCAGAGGGTGGCCCTGATGCTGTTATTATTGGAATGACCAAGATCCCTGTCATTGAAAATCCCCAGTACTTTGGCATCACCAACAGTCAGCTCAAGCCAGACACATGTAAGTACAGCTGTTTATACTTATTGGTCCATTTGCTGCATCAACCAGATTGTTTATCAGAGCCCCTGACAAGGATGGCTGGGGGCAGGGTTGTAACAAAACGTCTGAGGATTCTTACAGCTTTTGGCCCACGGAATAGGTTCTTTAGTTTGTTGCTTATGGAATTTTCAGGGTGTGTCTCCTATTGGGATGGGAACTGTGGGAAGATACTGACTTCTCTTGGGATCCATTTCCCAAAACCATTTGTCAACATGAAGCTGGAATCAAGGCATGCTTATCTTGAAAAAGAGACAGAAACCAGAAGTATCCTTAGAATGCACACATATCAGTTACGGATGACAGGCAATTGATGTAATTTAAATTTGGTCCATTGAAAGTAATTAAAATATGCACTCTTGGTAGTTGGGGAGGCTCTGTGTTGCACACAGGTGGTATCAATTTGGGTAGTCCTGTATTCTTTGTTTAGTCCTACTTCCCAGCATGAGACTTTGTCATGATGCCACAATAGCAAAGATACATGACAACAGATTATGTGCGTGTTAAGTGTGATGACTTATTTTTCAGAACCAAATGGACCCATTAGCCTCTGTTGGCAAGCTTGAGATTTTTCTTAGAGCATTTTATCCTATTTTGTGAGCCACCGCTCAAATATAAAAAATGGAGCATAGCTTTAAGGACAACAGAAAATAAACCCACAGTGGACAAACAGGCTTATGCCATTGGAACTCCAGGACTTCCCTCACACGTGAATCAGGTCCTGAGGGCTATGACGTCAGGTGGTCTCAATCCCAGCAGTTCCCTGGCACTAATGAGTGGGTATCTTCTACTTGCATGTTCGTATCTTGTCTTAAATACCATTCTCCTACCTTGTCTCAAAGGTAAGGTGGAACTATTGCAAGGTTAGGCTTCGGGGATTGATTTTGTGTTGAGAACTCTCATGGGATGAGGGGGCTCAGCAATGCATATCAGGTCTGTTCATATATAAGAAGTCACCTATAATTTCTTCCTATTCTTCAAATTTATCCCAAGGTATGTTTAAGTTTGGATTTAAGTGTTAGGAAGAACAGTATCATAAGCTTTTGATGTATGACATTGGACCCTGCCATAGATTTGGGTTGAATCTGTAATGTGACAAGATAAATAGAATAATGTGTGCAAAGACTGAGCTCCTTGAAATAAAAGATGTTATTTGAAATTAAGGTATTATTAATCCTAATACTGTCATTGTTGTGGAACAAGGTAAGTGGGGGATTGCTTAACATGTGCCTTCTTTGATGAGAAAAGCATCCTCCAAAGGCCCTTGAAATGCCCTGCATGCCTCCCAGTCAAGTGTGGACTAAGACAAAGCAGGACACTGTGATGGGAGCATCTGTCATCATTTTGATTGTTTTCCCTGGGAATAAAGCCCTTTGACACCTTTGTCACCACCACTACTAGGCGCTGCAGTTAGCCTGGGACTGTATTATAATTGAGGTTGACCAAAACCAACATGCCCTCCAAAAGTTTGCGTTTTTTTTTTTTTTGGTTGATGGAGGAAGGATAAAGCTGAATAATCAAGTAGATACCATCAGCCTCATGCATCCAATAAGAGAAAATGAACAAACGAGCAGGAAAGCAAACAAACTGAGTGACGCATGAGATCCCATAGAAGAAAGTGGACTAGATGTCTGAAAGTGCTGTCTTCCCGTAGAAATCTTTAAAGAAAGTCTCAAAGGTCATTTCCTTAATCTGGAGTCCTTGGGGATTTTTTGCAACGGTTTTGGTTATTTTTGGAGAAGTCTTGGTTTTGTGGCTCAGCCACTCTGTGCCTCCCCTCAGCCCTGGCTCTACCCACTTGTCTAAACCTTCCCTTCTCCATCGGGCAGCTCCTTCCTACGAAATCTTGCTGGGTCCTTCCCCCAACTGTCCTTTCCTGGCTTACCGTTCAGTCACTCGGCATCTTATACCAGAAGATTCTTTTTTTCCAGGTTGAAGCCACATATATGCTTCCATGACTTTAAAAGCACTTAAAATCACACATCTCTCATGAATTCTTTTTCAAAGAAATGGGATGAAGAAACAATTTCCTTTCCTTCCCTTCACCCTTTTGTAAATGTCATTTTTTTATCCCATATTTTTTTTCCTTTATCTTCAATGTATCTGTTTTCTTTTGTTAAGAAGTATGACCACTTTCGTGTATGTGTTTCTGTAGTGTTGTCTAGGTTAGATTGTAAGCTCCCGGAGAGCAGGGACATCATCTGTTGAACTATTCCTGAAACATGATGTATCTTTGATGTTGGCCAGATGTTGAGCAGATGTGGCTATATATGACTGAAATATTAATTAACAGCAGGCTTGTAATCAGAAAGATGACTCATAACCTTTTTCACTGGCCTTATTCTTATCGAACTTGCCTACGTAGCAGTTTACTTATTAGACATGTTGTTAACAGTATATTAGCCAATTTAAACAGATTTAGATAACAATTTTAACAGAAATAAGCTTTGACAACAAATAATTTCTTTGAACATCCTAATTATAGGATGTGCTTAAAACAAAATATCACATGGACAGTTCACCATCCCTGTCCTTGACCCATCAGAGACTTGGGCCACAAACTGGCATATTTACTTCTCTTTCCTAAAGCTGCATGCTGGTCAAAGATGTGGACTTCAGAATATATGTGTGATCTTATAAAGAGTGATCCCTGTCTCATTTCACTGAATTGTAAGATTTTAGATAGTGGGAAGTTCAATTCATTAAATATTTATTCATTACCTGTAATATTCCTATAATGCTAGGAACTAGGGATTCCATGAAAATAATGGCTGTTTCCTGCCTCCTCGTTGGGGAGGCCAATAGTTAGATCATCATATAATCACAATGCAGTGTGTTAGGCACTATGATAAAATAGGTTAGAGCAATCACCTTGAGGGATCAGACAGGTCAATATAAAAGCCAGACTGGATTAGAAGAATGATAAGGGGTAGCGAAGGCCATGCTGGAGCATGGGCCTGGTATTACTACATACTCTAATTTTTCAGGGGAAACAGGCATTTATTGTTTTCTGTGAATTCCCCAAGATTTAAGGCACTGGGTGAGAGAAAATAGGACTACATCAGCATGAGTCAGGTTTGGTCCATAGTCCACCACCTGTTTGTGATCCTCTGAAGTAGACCTTAAAGCTCGATTAATACAAACACCTTATTTTACAAATGATGTTCAGAAGGGGCTTGCCCAAAGGGATACAGCCTCAATACTTGCATAGCTTTGCTTGAACAACAAAACAACAAAGAAACAAACAAAACGTGATCAAATCAGATTTATTTAAATGACACATAAAAGCATTTAAGTGAAAGGTGGTGATACATTCTATCCCCTGAAGTAGTTTTTACTATCAGGAGCTATACGAGGGTTTCATTTACAAATTCCAAAGATGGTTTGCAGGATTTTAGAGCAATCTCAACAGGGCTGAATTGCTCCCGAGCACTTTCCAATAGCAAGTCTGTCTACTTTATTGCAGGGCCCAGAGGTTCCCCCAAGACCGCCTGATAATAATTTGGTATTTGGAGGCTCCTGTGTCACTGCAGGAACTAAAGGAGGCTAAATCCATGCCTGATGGAGGAGAAGAGTTCTATGGTTATCTGCAAATTCTGGCCAGACAAGATCTTGACGTCACTCCTTAGCTTCCATAACCTAGCCAAGCAAGAAGTTGCCTTCCCAAGACAAAGCAGTGTGCTCTAATGACTAACCCCTCAAAGTGCTCTGACACTTTAACTATAGACCCATCTCCTCGACCAATCAGGATGGCAAGATGGAGCTGATCAGCTCAGCATCATCAAGTCTGGAGTTGGTCTTTAATTCAACTAGCCTGTTTAGAAATCTCTGAAAACCATGTCACCTGACAGCACGGGTGATTTCCCAGTAACATTTACAAACTCGGCTCAAGGGCAGCTCTGTGTTGCTTTCCTCTCCTTGACTGCTGAGAAAGTTTTTACAGGGTACAATGGAAACATACCTTCTGAGCTGAAACAAACTAACGAAAACAAAACAAACGTACTAACCAGCAAAACCCCCAAATCTTCAGTCTTGTGCTCTCTCTTGAAGGCTGGGAATGGGTTATATCTTCTTCTGCCAGAGCACCGTAAACTTGTTGTCATCCCTAAAACTGTGTCTTCCCTAGAGCAGCCTTGTAAATTAGCTAGGGTTGTAGGCCTGAGGCCTGAATTAAATGAGAATTTTCTCTAAAGATGTACCTGAATGTGTTCGTCCTTGCAGAGCATGCCCTCTGTGTATACCTAGGGCTAGTAACTCCCTGTGGCAGATGCATATAAAAAATTCTGACTTTTTTCCACTTCAATTTTGTTTCCAATGAAGTGGATAATTTTTGGCTTTCTCCAGAGTGTGCCGTACTTCTCCAGGTATTACAGTTCGTGTGTGTGCGCGCATGTGTGTTTGTGTTTTTCCATTGGTCACATGTTTATTAGGTAATTATATAGATAAGCACGGATTCACAGACCAGCTAGGACTAAGGAAATAAGATGTTATAAAGGGAGGGCGTGTTTTAATAGCAGCTGAAACTATCACACAAGGCCCCCATCCTTCTCCCTTTAATGGCCACGGCCACTTTCTTGTTGTCTTGTGAACAAGGGGAGGGAATGGAGGTAATATTTTTCACAGAACCACAGAGGTTTTGAACATATTTACAGCATTACTTCGAGAACACTTGAGCAAGGGTCCTAAACCCCAGGAGCTCATTAGATCAAAAAATGAGGGACCCAATTCTTAGGTAAGGTTATCTTCAGACTTCAGTGTGATCAGATCACCATGGTCCATTTTCATAGCCAGGGACAGGATAAAAAAACAGGTAGAAACAATTGCTTTAGCACTTTCTCCTGTCCTTTGCCTATTAAATTTGTCTTTCAGAAGTATATTTTCTTCTAAGTGTTTAATTGGCCAAATAATGGCTGCTTTGGGAACTATTGGTCTGCCTTTGAAGGCCAAGGCTTGCACTTTACAAA